CATGTTCAATGATCTTTGGTTCGGTTCAACGGTTTGTTTGCAGCACGAAAAGTTACTGAGGAGCACGACAAGACTACGTAACAAAACCCTTTCAAAACCAGTTTTTGGGCTCCATTTTGCCTTTTACATGTTCAACCTGTATTCAGCAAACAGTCATTTAAAGCAGATTTGGGCCATTGCCAAGGAAAAAGTGTGGGAATTTCACGCGAGCGCGCGGCTGTCAAGATATCAGTCTCAGTTCCGGGTATCAGTGATTATATTTGTAGAACACCCTTCCACAATTTTGGACTTGCTAAACAGAATGCTTATCATAAAGAGGACCCATTATGCACGATCTGCCATTTAGCACTGGGGTCTTGGGGAAAGACTAAACAATGATCAAGGAAACCACAAAATCTTTACAAAAGGCGATCAACAAAATATCATCTTGGGTCTTGCTCCAAGTGTAGATTGGCCAGTTGCGATGTCTGGAATGCCCCAACATTTTTGTGGATCAATCAAGGTGCTGATTTTGGAGCCACATTGCTTAGCAACGGTACTACCATGTCAACAATAGTTAGATTGGGCGAGAACGTCAACAAACCACGGAAGAACACTTAGTTAATTTCGCAATGGCGCCTAAAATCCCCCAAACTGTGGTATACTGTATATTGAAAAAATGTTGATAATTCCCATTAGCCTAGTCTTTTGTTACGAGTATGGTCTTTTGTTACAAGGCCAGTTCCCTTTGTCCGATTTCCGAGACCCAGGCCACGCGAATAAAGAATATGTTTCCGATACCGGAAACCCCGGCGGCAAGTGGTTAAGGCTAAACCCAGTTGGGTTGTGCCAAAACATGTACCAGGGGAATTCTGCATGATTCATGATCTTTCTTATCCTCAGGGATACTCAATCAACAACTTTTTACTAGTACACAAGTATTTTCACTAGTCAGCGTCTTCCCCCAAATTTCAACTTTCTTTTTTGGCACTAGTGTTTTCTGGTCCAACATCATGCATAACAGTGTGCACTCGGTGCTGACTGTTGTTTAATTGTTGATGAGTAGTCATAAATGGTCATGGGAATTGGAATTTCTAGAATATTCATGAGTATAACTCTACTCAAGCAAATTAAACAAACAAAGTAGTTACCTGCTGAAAATGGATCGTTTTATTCACAATCCAATAGACAGAAAAAAAAACATATCATTTTGAACAGTTTATGATCCCATGTACGTTTTATGCAGTATGCACATGTACACGCACATGCATATGTACATGTACATGTACGCCCGGCAAAATGCACATTCAGTACATGTTCGTTCTAGACTGTGTCCAGTACCCATGGGGTGCATTCCACCAAATGGTTGTATTTCTGCATGTGAGCTCATTAATATTTTGTGATCCCACAGGGTGTTTACAATAAGATATTCCATAATCAGGAGGGATCATAGAAATATTTCTATAAATCTCAAATTTGGGAGTGATCATTTCCAGTTCGAGGTATTTCTTTCAAAAGTGGCCGGCAGCTACATTCAGAGCTGAGCGCGCAGTTACACTACTGTTTTGGAGGTATCTTCGGGGAAAGCCGAATAGAAACAAATTTTGTGGCCAACCCCCATAAATTGAAATGAAAATATTCATGACTTACATGTACCTCTAAGATGCAATGTATGAAAGCACGTGCTGATTTAGATCTTGCATGCAGAACCAACATCAAGTCATGGCGTTGTTGAGTCGTACCGGCCACATAGGGTAGTACTGTACAGTAAATGGCCCTTAAGTGTGATCGTGCCGCAAAGGCGTTGCGGGCAGAAGCTTCAGATGATTTACTGCCGCCGCCTTCTTAGTCTTCAGCATTAATTCTGCTAGACTGGTGCTAAGGACCGAACTATTCTTGGTTGCAAAAAAATTCTTTTTTATTTGGTTAAAAAACCAGCAGCAGCTAGAGGGCATGCAACACAATAAACTATTTCACCGCTTATTTCAGAATATTGTTTTACTGGACCGCCGGACTACCCAGACAAGGGCTTTCGCTAGACCACCGTGGTTTTTACTCAAATTTGGCTAGCGGACCAGTGTTAAGGTCGAACCCTGTTTGTAGAGTTCCTAGTTAGGAGAAACACTCACTCAGCCGGGATTATTCATTTCATGGACAACTTTCTATATGTAGGAAGAAGGGATAGCCAGGTTGGCTCATGCAGGTTGCTGTTGGTAAAATCAAGGCCATCTACGAGTTCCTCGGTATCTGATTTATTTAGGGCTAGAAATTGATGCCATCCATATGAAAATTCAAGTTTCACTGGGAAAACTAAGGGATATCAGACAGAAGATTAAAAAAGCAAAGAACAGGGACTCTTCAGCGGTCTGGGAGGTGCAATCAGTAATTGGGTCTTTGAGCTTTATCTGTCGTGCAGTCAAACCGGATTGGGCCTTTCTGCGGCTTAAAGACATGCTTAAAGGCAACTGACAAACAAATACAACTATCAGAAGGCACCAAGGCAGACCTGGGAAAGTGGTTGAAGTTCCTAGAATCCTTTAATAGGACAGCAAAAATCTTGACTCAGTGCTGGACAACTAATCACAAAATTGAGTTCTTTACTGACGCAAGTGGGAGTATTGGCTATGGCGGCTTCTTTCAAGGGAAATGGTTCAATGGGTCATATTCCATTGTGTGGAAAGAGATGTTTCCAGGAGTGGAAGCAGTCTAAATTTGGGGCAAAGAATTAGCAGGGAAACAAGTTGTCTTCTTTACTGACAACATGTCAGCTGGACACATAATCAGTAAGCAAATGTCAAGGTGCCCAAAGATCATGTCACTAGTCAGACATTCTGTGCTCGTGTTTGTGACATAACATCTCTTTTAAGGCTACGCTTGTGGGGATAAAGCAAAATGCTACTTCTGATTCGTTGTCTCATTTGCAGTTACACAGGTTCAAAAGTGCTGCACCACATGCCAAATCAGAGCCGTCCTTTTTACCCAACTGGCTATGGACGATTTAGCACAAGAAACCACAGGCTGTTGTCGGGGTCATTGGCACCCGGCACCTCAGAAGCATACCAGCCAGCAGTTAATACATTTGAGGAATTTTGCCTCCAATCTGAACTAGACCCAGTCTAGCATGCCACAACACAGCACGCCATAGCATTAATTGCAGCTCGGCACCGTCCTCTATTGGCTTGCACGTGTCAGCTCTGGCCCTGTTACACAGAAGTTATAATTGGAATGACCTGACCCAACATTTTTTAGTCAAACGAATGTTAGAAGGTCACAGGAGAAACAAGAGGGCACCACTTTGCATGCAGTGTGCTCCACTGCTTTCGAAGCAAAGCTATTCCGAGCTGTGTTCCTTTTGGCGTAGTTTGAATTTTGGAGGATAGGGGAATTCCATGTCACAGCAAAAGGGGAGGGGGGTAACAGACCAAGTGTTGGCCATTACAGACATTAACTGGGCAACTAGCCCTACCTTGTTACTTTGTATTCGTTATTCCGAAAACTGATCAACAAGGGCAGTCAACGACCCTTCGTATCCCAGCATATGTAGCGGGGCCACGCCCCGTACAGGCCATATTAGCATACATGTTCAACCAGTCCTTTATTTTGCCATGTAAACAGTCAACCCCTCCCACAGTATCAGTTCAGTATTGCAAAAAGCTCTCTGTCAGTCGGAACTTATCTCAGAGGGGTCGAACGTCTAATCAAAGACTTCGGAGCAGCTTTCCAAGTGGATGACAATACCAAAAAGGTGATTTATGATGAATCTACATTGTGACTAGTCATCATTACCTCGGATAATATCAGTAAGTCTGATGACACTGGATTTCCCCATATCCGCCCAAAAATATATATATTACCGATTAGCACATGATGGAGTGGGCAGAAATTGTGTTTCAGAGTGGTGAAACGACATGTATATGTACAGACATATAAAGATATTATTATGGTACATGTGCAAATAATGTTAACCGTCAGGATGCATAGATATGTGGTTATATGGGACATGACTTGAGGCAGCTCTTATGGAGGAAGGTTAATGTCCAAATATAGGCTTATTTACTGCCAGGCAGGCAGGACAGACCAATCTGAGTAAACTAAAACAGACATAATACATTCAAGTATTCGAAGTAATGCTGGTTGGTGTACATGGTTAATGCTGATGTCCATGCTCAGGAAGTCCAGCAGGAGATGGCTGGCTAGATAAAAAAAAAAAAGTATTGCCACATGTGTTTGCGTTTTGACCAAGTAGAGGTATACCTGCACTCCTTCAGTGCTGATATATCCGTGTTTTGAGTGTTAACCAAGTCAAGTCATGTATGCCTTTAGATCAGATGGCTCAAAGATGTGAACCAAAGAAACGGGAAGTATTACACAGGCCCAAAAAAAAAAAAGGAAAAAAAAAAGGAAAAAAAAAGAGAATGGAGGTTTCGATAGTTTAAGCCCATGGAGGAGAGGTGGCATGGGCCAGTCTGTTGGGTTTTGGGGGTGGGTCAGTGCCGACGGATAAACGACTATCACTGGGGGTGCTGGCACATGCCCGCTTTTCATGGATGAGCTTCCCTCCATGGGCTCTTGTTTGTGCTGATGAACACATTGTCAAATTGAAGTATATCAGAGAGACAAGTGCATATTGTAGATATCTATACAACTTCTTTGTTTCAAGGCAGTGGTCTTGAACCTTGCATTTTGCAAGGAACTGTATGTAAATTGTGGAATACAACCTCATTGTTTCAAGGCTTTTCAGTGTCTTGAACCTTGCATTTGGCAAGGAATCGTACTTGTTTGCATATGCCGCGATGATGCTTGTTAAACCATAATTGTTTGTATGTAACAAGCGAAATAAATTTTTGCCGAGCTACCACAGTGCAGACTATAATTAGGCATGACTCTTTTCACAAATACATATACATGTATACAGAATGTACAGGAGTTTCCACACTTGTTTTCACAATACTGACCTTATTGTGCAGATTTTCAAATGTTATTGGAAACTCAAAGCAACTGTTACTCAAACCTATCCTTACCTTCAGATAGTATTGGCTTTTGCTTCCTGGTGAAGGCATATACTCTTCCATGGTACTGGTAGGCAGTACACCAATCCACTGGCAACGTTTCAGTAACAGGCTGATAGCCATTACAGCACCCTCAACACATTGCCACATGCTATCATGATTCAGGCAGATCTTAAGAAGAAATAACACATAGAGAGGTACGTTAGTGTCACATTAGGGCGAGATTGTGAACCTTCCCTTTTAAGTATCATATTCTGTACAGCAGCAACAATGGCTTTCCGGTTGGAAAATAAAAAATGGTGATTCAATTGTGGCCTCCAAAATGTGTGGTTTTCTGTCAACATACATGTATTAACACCAAGATGCATATACATGTATTTTCCTTCATCTGAAAGTATATTATAAGTACTTTTTAAAAATGTTATAAAGGGATTGTTCATTTCACCTGTATTTTATCTCCCCATTTGATCTACTAACATTTCCTCATTTTAGATTGATCAGGTAAATTCGCAACTCTTGTATTGGACCTACACTTCACAAGTCTGTTAACGATTGTTGATGGTCAGTACAATCGAAGTTGTGCAAAAGTGGAAATCAACATGCAAAGAAATACCAAGAATGAGAGAATACCGTTGTTTTCAAAAAAAATCATTGGATAAACTTGTGAGATAATGACCGAATGTGGAAATTGAGCAATGGAAAGTTTATTATCCATGTCATCTCGATACATGTGATATGACTTAATATCATATAACGATACCAGCATCAGATAAAATCGATTTCTATCGCGAACCCTTCCCTTTCTAGCTATCTGCGAAGTTCTACCAAACGGGACATGTACTTCACTGATATTAGGCTTTAAAAAATGCACTTTTAACCCCTTCATGGCAGGATTATTTTGACCGGGACTGCTGGGCTGTGGCATGCCATGAATGGAGGGGCTTTGTCCAGCAGCAGGCCCCATTGAACCAGCAGCTGCATGGTGAATAGACTGTATGTGTGGTATGCACTAATCCTCACACAATGGAGGGTAGTAGCAGTCCTCTGTATGGAGGGGGTTAAATTGGTGAATAACGTAAACAAGGGTCAGAGGGCTTGCTTCAGAAATGTAATCTTTACCATATGGCAAAACAAGACCAAGAGAGTGTTGTGATTCGAAAGAACCAGATACAGGTTAACTGTCTCAGAACCACACAACTCACAAGGGAAACATGTACAACTGCAAACATGTTTCATATTATCACCTCAACTATGCAAACCTTCAGATTATATCCGTCAGTTTACTAAGTGACTTTGTTAAGCACTTTTTGATCACTTTTAAATTGATTGAAATGTGATGCTTTATGGTACATATAAATAAATTTTGTTTTTTTCAAGATTTCCACTTGTCAATTTGATGCCTGATTTGACACTGTTCTATCTGGCATGAACATACTCCCCACCCTGTTAGCCTTGGAATCTAAGGCCAACTTTCCTGCTTGAGGTCCACGGGATGACATGCTTTACCACGAGATGCATATTGAGAGTTACATTTTCTGTTGGGAGGTTGCCCTAAGAAAATTGTAAGTATTCTTGACTGTAATCTCCTTATTGAATTGAATGATATGACAAATTCAATTGAATTGTTTTTACGACTATTCCATTTAACAACAAAAAATGAAACATTTTACAACAAAAATATGGGCGATTCACAATGCAATGCAACATCAAGCGGATTTCATGAAGCTCCGCCTTTTTGTAGTGCATAATGGGCTACATAGTTGCCAAAATCTCATTCATTAACTGTGCGGTGCATGGGAACCTTCAATTTTACTGATTGTTTATATTGGTTGAAAAATTGCTTATTGTGAATGGGTGTTAAGTAATCAAAATGGTAAATTCTGGGTTCACAATTTGATCAGTAATACCTATACACTGAACCACGTCTTCCCTAGATGACTTCACAGCAACAGTGCCCTCAGTTGTCTGGGAAAGCATGGAAAAACTGTGTCTTAGAAACATTAATTGCAGCTACAATTTAATCAGAGCAGCGTGTTGACAACTTATTTATCTCTCTTAAAGCCACATCCCTGTGAGAACTTACTTGCAGTTGCTCAAAAATTCTCTATCTATGAGGGGACTCCATAGATGGAAATTAGATGCTTTCAAAAACTACAGATGCTTGCAACTGCAATGTCAGCAAAATGGGCTCTTTCTCTACATGTATGCTTCTTAGCTCATTTTTGTGTTTTTTTCCCCTGTTTTATGCGAGCCACCAGACCCACAGGCACAAGCCTTGGCATCCAGAGACTTATGGCTTATCAACCAAACATAAACACAGGTTACAACTGATGATCCGAATTATAGACCATGGGCCAGAAATCATAGTTTGCAGGTTCGTTGAGAGTGGCAACTTACTTTTTACTCTAATAACTTGAATACCTTACATAGTATGAATCAGAAAACACGATCACACATCCTCTGTGAAATTTGGTTACGTTCATTATACCATCATTCTTTAGAATTGACACTGTGACTTAAATGCAGCACAGTGCATCAGTTGGAAAAACTAATGCACTTTAATGCAGAATGCAACCAACAGCAGCTACACAAACTGCCCCTCTTGAGACAATGGCAGCTAGTTCCATTGAACAATGCCACTGATTGTTCAGTGTTTTGCAACCACTGACTCTCAGGCCACTTGGCCTTGGAGATAGTCCACCTGTTGGATCTTGTTGCACTGGGCAGGCAAGCCACTTTGATAAATGATGCAGACTGAAGCATCTGGCAGGATTTCTAGCCAGAGTACCCTGGATGGTTAGAGATAAACCCAGCACAATGTAGCATATTTTCTCCTTTTTGAAGTGCAGTCCCATATTGCTTTATTTGTCAGATATTAATTCAAGAGATGGGAGTTAGATGATGGGCTAGGTGGCACTTTGGGGAGGTCTGGCCACACCTGCCTAATTTAATATTTTGTCAGATCATATACTACATGCACAAGTTTGGGTCATGAATGAAATGTGGGGGTGCTGTTGGGGGTACTTTGTGGGGGGTCTGACCACATCTTCCCAACCAGATATTTAGTCAGTTTTTGCTCTTTGTGTGATTTACTATCATACTACTTTGCTTTGACAAAGTTTGGTCCATGAATGAGATGGGTGAAATAAACTGTGTGAGGGGGTTTTCAAGGGGGTCCAATGTCAAGGTCCAACCTCTGGGGGGAGGCTGACCAACTTTTTTTGAATGACATTGACAACCTAATTAACTTTAAGGGGTCGAACCTTCTGGGTGAAATGGGTAGAAATCTTATGTAGCTAGCTCTATAGACTATGCCAAACATGCCAAGCGTTTACCAGTCATGTCAGTTGTAAATTGTTTCCTTTCCTTTCCTGCATGTCCTTGGGATCTAGGTTTGTCTGTGTCAGTTAAAATACTAATCATAGTGCTGATTCTGGTTTAGAAAGCAGATGCAATGTCAGGAAAATAGAAATTATTTCTATAATACTTATTTCCACAACAAAAGTTAAGTTCAAATTTTTTTGGGGGACGGCATTTCCACAGCATTTCCGGGCAAATAAAGTCAAGACACTCAAGAGTCGTTTTTCTAGTTCAAGATCTTTCCTAATTCTGGATCATTTGAATTTAAAGCTACTTCTTTTTGTGCTGTTCTTCAGTTCACATTCTAAGGTAAGTTCTATTTGAAAGGTAAATATATTTTTGTTCTCAAACTTTTTGGACTTGGCCAGATTTCTAGTTCACATTTAAGTTTGTTAAAATCACTGGAGGCAACGAATCGGCAACAATTTACAGGGTGATAGGTCACCCACTATGTGTGATTCCAAATATTTTTACAGCAAATCAAATGAATTAGAATATCCGTTTTCAAAATTGGCAGAAAATTGAACACATTTTTCTCTAAATTGGGATCGCACGTTAAGTGCACACAAATACAGGTACGTTACAAACTTAACTATACTGATTTAACAGAAATGTGATGTAATGGGCTTGTTAGTGCGTGGCATGGGGATAGTATTGTTAGCAGCTTGCTGTGCAGCAGATAAAGTTGAGTGACACTTTACACAAGTTTTATTTGTTGGAATTAGTTATGGAATTTTTATTTATGAACTATTTTCTCTAAGAAATTTTCCATTAGAAAATCAGCTTGTACCATGGCTGTAAAATGGATTTTTGTGTGGTTACTTTTTATTCGTGAAAAAGTTTTTGTAGCAATCCAGAACTTTAATCGAGCCAGAAGTATGAAAAGTGTCCTCATCACTTCTGTCATTCCTGATAGTTAAAATTAAAAGCTCAGAATCAAAAATTATTTTGAAGTATCTCTAACACACAAGGTGGACTACTGACCGCAATGAAACTGCAAGTCGCGTTCCCACTTACGCTTGATCCACCTTTTCGGACGAAAATGTCCAGCCCGAAAGGTCACCACGTTTGGTATTGCGCATGTACTAGCTTGCTGAGTGCGTGCTCTGTGGCAGTGTTGCGTCCTGGGGTGGCATGGGTGTGACCCATGCGGTCTTTTGGGTACGGAGTTCTACCAACGTGATGACCTTGAATCGGACCGAATGTTCAGCCTAGTATATTGTCTCTTCAAACTTTGCTTCCATATTTGATACTCTGTTACACACTGCGGGCTATACGCTAACACAGAAATGGTTTTTGATGGAAAGCAAATGAAATTACACAAATGAAAATGGTGAAGAAACGGATGAATGCATAACGAAAATTGCGACAGGGCTAGGTACACATTGCGGCATGCATGCATCGTGCATGCGTGGTAAAATATTTTGCTAGCCCATAGTTTAGCAGTTGTTTATTGTGCATGCTATGCACGTTAAAAATTTCATATGAGCTACTGGCCAAAAAACATACTTCTTTGTTCATCAGACTGCAAAAGTTTCGCGCCACTCGTGCACGCACAGATGTTGACAGGTTAAATTGCCGGATCAGATCCACCTTTTGCACTCCCATCTGATCATGATCCGCCAATTGCAGGATCCAATCCACCAATTGGGGGACCTGTATCCTGCTCCAGAAGAGG